CCCCAAAACCCCAAAACCCCAAAACCCCTTAAGAGTGATTAAAACACAGTTAGCATGCAAATTAAATAATGAATTAAATAATCTTGAATCACAATTTGGGTTCATATTTAATGACCTTAACCTTTGAAAGAGACTATTCTAAATCTGCAATCAAATCTGCAGCATTTTCTATTCCAACGGATATTCTCATCAGATTATCTTTAAAACCTCTCTTTATTGCATCCTCTGGTGTAAACTAACTTTTATGACTTGTACCTTACTACTCAATAGAACTAATTACACCTCCTAGACTTGGCCCAAACTCAAACATTTTTAGGCGCTTAGGAAACTCACAGCTCTCATCAAAATCATCAGTATTTATATGAAAACTGATCAACCCCAAATAACCTGTACTCTGCTTCTTCATGATATCGATTTCAGCGTGAGTATCAAAGAGCGGGAAATAAACTTTAGCAACCTTTGGATGACTTTTCAAATACTCTGCTATTTTAATGGCGTTTTTATGAACTCGCTATGCTCTTATTTTTAGAGTTTAGAGTCCCTAGTCCATAAGATAGAGATTAAATTGATTTGTTTATTGGCCAGTAATATCCCTAAGGTATCTCATTTTTTTATAAATGTCTTCATCTTTGGTGCAAATAGCACCAGCGACACAATCTGAGTGGCCTCCAATGTACTTAGTACAAGAGTGAATGACTATATCAATACCATGTGTCAATGGATTCTGATAAATAGGAGAGCATATGGTGTTATCAGCTGCACTGATTACCTTATGCTTCTTACAAATTTAGGAGATGCGCTCAAAGTCAATGATAGTCATCATCGGATTTGAAGGTGATTCTAAGAATACTAATTTTATATCATTATTAGGTCTAGATAATAGGTTCTCTAATTATGAGTATGGATCGATTTGATCAAGTGTTACATTAGTATATCTGTGATTCATAATCTTATTTATCAAAGATCTAGTTCCATTGTAATAATCATGTTAAACTGCAACACAATCACCGTGATTCAGCAATTGTAATACAATAGATATTGAGGAAACTCCGCTATTAGTAGTTAAACAGTACTTTGCTTTCTCTAGGCTTGCTAATTGAGCTTCAACTTTAGTTTCTAATTCTTTGTTTAGCTGCTAATTCCCAAGGTCTAAATTATACATTTTTATTTTCTAAATATCAATATTTAAAACAAATATTTGGTTAAGGGGTTTTCATTTTATCGATAATATTTTAAT